ATTGTTGGTGTTTGTTGGTTCGGATTTAATTCATGATCAGATTCAAGTTCAGTTGCATCACGTACTGTTGTCAATGATAATCCACTATCTATATCAAATTACAAAGAAAAAAAAAGAACATTAATATAATTTTTTATAGATTTGATCAGACTAAAGCTTATATTAAAATCGATCACATGAAAAAAGCTCGTTAGATTTTTTTAATAACTAAACCATGACACTTATTGATTTTTTATACATGTTAAAATTATAATCACATGCAAACAAACCATTCATAACATTTTTATCATTCATAGTATTGCGAAGAGTAGAAACTGATACCAATGGTACTATTATATTTGATGAATTATTAACACCTAGTTTTTCAATAGATCGAGATCCATTGCCAAGTATACCTTTTTCATCAGCTGATTCAAGATCACATGAATCAAGTTTACGTCGATTTATATTTGTTACGTATGATGGTGATGGACTATATAAAATAATCAATAGAAATGTTTTCTTTTTCAAAAAAATCAAATACCTGTCTAATTTTGAATCATTCCAATAAGAACCCAATGTTGAACCTTGTGTAGAAAATAATCGTCTTGGTGATGGAACAAGCTAATGATAAATTTGAATAAATTTTTGAATTTTTTTTTCTATTTACTTACATGTGTAGGCATAGTATTTAATTTATTTGCTTCAATTGTTGCACGTAATGAATCATTTTCATCACGAAGTAGTTTATTAACTTCTCTATTAAAATATTAAAAGAACATTTCATTAAATATTCTTTTGTTTGATCACATACACTAGATGACGAACATTTGTTTGTAGTGATTCTCTTTCTCGATAATTACTTGACGATGATTGTTTTTGTCTAAAACAAAAATAAACTAATTTAACTATATATATTTTTTTATTTGTTTATACTGTAAAAGCATTGTTTGTCTTTCATTTAATTGAGCTTTAAATGATTGTAAATCACTTTGCAATATAGCATTAGTTGTTAAAGATTCATTTAAAGATGCATTAAGTGTTTGATTTTCTTCTGTTAATTTTGAAATTTCTTCATGTAATGGAATTATTGAAGAATCTTCTTCACTTTTACGATTAATATAAAGTTGTTCAATCTAATTTAATTAAATAGAAAACAAAAAGAATAATGTGTTGTAAAATAAAAAAAGTTTACATACAGTTTGTAATCGTTGAATATTTGATTGTAAATCATTGATTTCTTTCGATGTACGTTGTTGAATTAATTCACGTTCAATTCCAAATTTTTGTCGTTCCTTATAAATAAACACAGAGATTGTGTGAACTTTCAAAATAAAACTTTTTGTTTTTTGTTTTCATTTACTTCTTGTCGGATTTTTTCTTCTAATTCACGCATGTCTCGTTCTTGATCTTCTTCTATACGTCTTAAATATTTTTCATTTGTTTCCTTTTCACTAAATATACAAATAATAATAAAAAGATTAATTTAAAAAAAAAAAA